GAGATTTTATCATTGTATGTTGTTATTCTTTCTATATTTTGTACTTATATTGAAGTTTTTGTGTTTGCTTCTGAACTGTACATATGTTGTTTAAATTTGATATAATATGGCTACCGCCACATTTTTGGATTCATCATCGTGCAGTATAGGAGTTCACCTAAACCTCGGAACATTGATACTCGTTTGGAGTAATTCTGAATTGGAAGACGTAATATTAGTTAGGTATTATTTGTATTTCCATTTGTAATTTGTAAATAGACCATTTTCCCCTAGAATTATTGTGTTTTAATTTCAAAATCGGGAAGTGCGTCCAACCTACGTCTATTGGAATCGAATTGAACTGTCACGATGAAGAATTCAACTACACAAAGCTTGTCCCAAGCACTCGGATAAATTAACTAATCATCCATCCCCAGTTACTATGCACTCGTCTTTTGAACCTGTCAACTATTCGCTTTCGTTTTGGGTGTTTCTGTTCGAGTACGCGTGTGCACCGCTTATTTCGCTTATTGCATGTCTAGGTTATTTTGACTAACTGTAAACAGTGAGTCATGGTTGATCGCATGGAATGGTTCGCTCACCTCCTCCACTCCGCTTCGCATTTGCTTTGAAGCTATGTATTCCCCAGTCCGTCTGCATGAATGATTGCTTGAAATAAGCTCATCCAATCGCACATGTATATGGATTCTTATTACCACCGTCGCATAGACGGGATTCGCCCAAGTATGAAATATGAAAACTGAAGAGCAGCCTTATTTCCTCATATACCTGGTCATTCGAAAATATTTAAGTCATCGTGGGCCACTAAGCTCGTAAGCTCGACATCGAATCTAACGCAGCCACTAAAAGTGATCCACTACTACCTAAAATATGAAAGAGAAATTTACAAAATTTAAGACTTTGAATGAATCACTCATAGTTGAAATGACTGAATGCTAGGAGAGGCAACGCAAACATCAATCGTCGACAATTCAAAAAATAACGCGATGGTTCAGAAACGCTGTTATAATAATTTTGAAGAGTCATTTCGAAACGAAGCCAACAAAAAATATTAAATAAATTAATAAGAATAAATTTTCTAGATAGCGTGTAAGGGCCACTTTTACATGAATGATCAGTGATACGTATCGAAATTCCCGTCAGGTTGTTAGGTAGAATATGTAATTCAGGATTGATTCACGAGACAGTGTTTGAAGTGATTTGGTTGCAGAGTATCTGCGTGATGCAACTGGATAGGGAGTTCATAGCTGTTAGATAGTAACGATTGGAAGGTGCATGGTATAAGCTCTGACTTCAATAAACTTGTGTCTAAATTGTGTGCATTGGACGTGAATAGAAGCTCTATATTTGTTCATTACGAGAAAAGTACTGAAAACAAGTAAAAGAGAGAAGAACATCGGCAAGATAATTGGATATAAGACCACATTAATCTTTAACCGTTTATATTCGAAACAGCCGAAGTAATGGCGAATAAATAAATAAAACTTACACCTACTGCTGAAACTAGAATGAATTACTGTCAAATATCCTTCAAATTAGGGAGTACAGCAATAAAGATCGATTAGTTGCAACGTGTATCATGGTGGATAGAGTCCGGAAATGAAAGGGAAGTCGAAGTAAGAAACTGTAAGGCTGCTCATTAAAACTGAAGGTACAGCAAGGAGAGTGAAGCCTGTGGAAAACACTCATAACTACATTATTTATCATCTATCATCATTTTTTCACCAAATGAAAACCTATAGGTCATACTATAAGTGCCTGAATAAACCTGTAGTTAATTATCTTTGTAGGGTAGTGTTTCTTGTTTAAAAAATAAACTATGGGTCTAAAGATCAGCAAGTGAATGAGAACAGCCTCAGTGTCACCGATTAGTCACCTCGACCTTAATCAAAATAGCCCTAAACAAAATTGATCCGTTACACAAACACGAGTTGATTGAAATAATCGTTATCGCCATAAATGTCTGCTGTTCAGAAACTCCATCCCCGTTTTGTGGTGTTAGACTGATTTTCAGTTATTTTAAGACAATAAATAAGGCTTCACTTGAAAATCTACACTTCGAATTATGTATGGAAACATTAACTATGCCAGTTTCATAATTATTTTATGAAACTGTTACAACTTATGAAAAATGGGTTGTTTATAAATGCAGTACGGTAAATTTCTATGGTAGATATTGTAAGTTTCAGAGACAATCACGAGTGTTTAGGTTATAGCGAGTAGGGATAAAATACTAGTTCGCGGGATGACAAATGTTTATCCTGTTAATCTGGTAATCAGAGTAAAGAAGATTCTAGATGAAGAAGTACACTAATTGCTAGCCTCGTGATATCGAAATAGAGGCCAGAGGGTTCACAAGCGGCTAACGACCAGGCAGGAGAAGCGCGAAGAAACAAAGGGGGAATAACATGCTTGGCGTGCGAGAGATAGTCCGTGGTACAGATAAACAAAAGGGGTACAATATAACAATTATTGCCAGAATTAAGTATAAAAATAAATGTTTATATTTCAGCAATTGTGTTTTCTTCGTAAAAGTATACCACTACAAGGTCACTGTTCCTCAGGTTGCATGGCCATTGTTAGTTAATCAGAGAATGACGAGGCTTGCGTGACGACTCGCTAGAATAACATGATGCATTCTTATTAGCCAGCTATAGTTGAGCAGTCTCGATCGATCCAGTGAATTATCTACCTGTTTCATGTGAAACTTGAAGAGAGTAGTATAGACACGTAGAAGAATTTGACACAACCTTAGAGAAGACCAGGAAAAAGGAACTTCATCTTAGAATCCGATAAGGTTTAAAGGTGTAGAGACAGAAACATGCACCAAGAAGTTCTAATATACGTTTGATCAAGCCACGTCACTCCATCAAGCAGTATAATGTATGTTGTAATCTGACTTCTTTCACATGCGTTTTACAAGCGAACGGTAGGGGTTTAGAGATCCAAATGAGGTAGCGAGAGCATTAACCTCTTCTACTTGTCTATGTCTACCATGCTGGTTTTTTTCACCCTCAAATACAAAGTGCATTTAATGCAGGATGCTGAAGTTCCTTGATATGCACTATATCTTTTTACATTTACATAATTTAGCTTACGGTTTTCAGCTGACTAAGGGGCCATTGACTTTAGGATGTTTTGAAATTGATAGTTGTGTCAAGTGTACATTTGCTGGTGAAGTCGTGTTTCAAAAAATTCATCACTAGTTATAAAGGTATTTTCTACCCCAGCAGTTCACTCCGTTTCCAATATGTGCAGGTTGGTACGCGATGTCCTAGATCCGATACCAAAACACAATAATTCTGGGAGAAAAAGGTCTTTATTTAATATAAAATGGAAATAGAGACAATTACCCAACAATATTACACCTTCCAACTCCAATTCACCGCGGTGGGTATCCGTTTCTGGAAGAATAAGTGCTTCCAGTTCGTACAGTCGATGTATCAAATCCAAATATGGCTGTAGCCATATTAAATATCAAATTTAAACAATATATGTACAGTTCAGAAGCAAACATAAGAACTTCAATATAAGTACAAGATATAGAAATGATAACAATATACAATAATAAAATCTCAAAATGGAATCAAATAAAGTACCAAAATGTCAACAGAAAGAGTCAGTCATATCATGACACAAATATATATATACATGGAGGGATTTTCCAAAAAACAAAACATTCAAAAAAGATTCTACACTAGTAATGAACGTACTCCAGTGCCTCATTTAAGGTTGGAAGTTTTCCCAAACAGCGTGCTGATGACCCCTGAATAAAAAACATGTTGTTATTGCTAGGATTGGTTGCTTCTTGCAAGAAACAGTAGAGTGCAGATGCCTACTTTGTGATCTATGTTATCAGAATGTCCTAAAATCTTTACAGATATCAATGTGAGATTGTGACAAAATATTGAGTGGAGTATATTATAGTTTCCTGAATGTAGATTCATACGTAATAATTTATTTATTATCGGATCAAACTTCTCAATATCAAATACTTGGGACAACCTTCAGGTACTCGTATTACTAGAGTTACAGCTTTACTTGACCCATACAAACTAAAGATTTTGAATAACTACAAAGTTTCAAAAAACGAGAGTTAAATCAATCATTAAGGTTTTAGTGACTCCAAAAGTTTTGGATATTGTCTGACGATAGACACCAGCTCTTGGGATTATTAGCACTGAGCTACAGGAGAATCAGAGGCGATCTGATTATGGCGTAAAACATATTAAACAGGCCAAACCATCCCAATGTGAGCATCTTACCGATGCATCACCACCACTCCCCTCGAGGAAATCCTCGAAAGATTGCACGTCAAGGAGCGAATACTCATATTTGTGCACAATTTTTCTCATTGAAAGTCGTCGCAACTTGGAATGCTCTCTCAGCCGAGGTAACCACAGCCCCCTCAGTGGACAGCTTTCAGAAGAGACTTGATAATCACGTATTCACATACGGACTATCATCTCCCTCTTGGACAACCTGTTCCTGATACATGTCTTGAGACCTGCTAGTTGTTATCATTGCCATCTCCTCAGATCACTCAATTAATCTATCTCACCTATTATCTCTGTTTCCTCTCCCTTGTTTACACTTCGGTCCTCTTTCACAATCCTCACTACCAATTAATAAACTAAGTTCATCTATATATTACTCAGTTCTGAAATTTTATTCATATTATCATTAGAATTTTATCCTTATTATCCTTATTACTCTCAACATTGCAACTAACTGATCTCCGGTTTGGTAATGTGACGGCTGCTAGTATCCAGAAACCCTACTGCCCTGAAACAAACGTTTCATTCAAATCCCGAGACATACAAACTCACAACCAACTGCCGACTGACTAGAATTAGACAGTCGAGTGGCTAGACCTCCATTAATTGGACACTATCAAACGCCTGGAACCGTACTGAAATAACAAGAATCGAGGGCAAATAAATCAATTGGTTTATACTAGCTCGTGAAGGGTATATTGGATATTGGAGCGGAGAGTCGAGTTCAAGGTTGTCACATCGTTGTGGTTTGAATAGGTACGCTGCTTGGTCCTGATTTCGCTTTCTTGATTCTCTGGATCTGAAGCTTACGTGGCCACTGGTTGTTGTTTGTTGTTATTCCTACTAAATATCAATACATGCTATGTGCTTTGTGGGTCGTCGGTTAATCTCTTTTCTGTTTTTTCTTAGTTCTCCCCACTTAGGATGCTCTGCGTGCTCCGCTAGTATACAGGGTAGTCTTTTGCTAGATACGAACTGCTACATACATACGAGCGCTAAAGTGTTAGTGAGTGATAAGTAGTTGATTGTTCGTCCTTTCCTTTTTGTTGGGGTTATTAATCCAATTGCTTAAATTCAAACTGAACTTATGTTTTTAGCGATAGTCCAGAATGTGTAACACCTATTTACTCGCTGTTACATTGAATAAAGCCTTCTGAATACCGATATTTAGTGCTACTTCAGTCCCCGATTTTTAGAAACATATAACTGGGGAGACATAGTAGAATTTATAAAAACGCTACCGGAAACCTAAAAATTTTCCCTAGTCCAAGGTTCTTCCCCCATGCCAACTTGGAATGCTTAAAAAATGTAGGGAAATTTCGGGAAAAACCTTAATCCTGATATTTTTGGAAGACCACGAGTATCATTAACTCCGAGGGAAGCTCCGTAACGTACCCGAGGTCTCACCGAAGTTTGGAGACTGTATTATTTGATTGAATCGCATGTTATTCAGACGAAGAAATAAAGAAGTAAACGGTAGATGTGGATCAGATATTCTTTTAAAAGTATGGGGAACATTGCAAAAAGTCACCTTTTTCGCGAGCAAATGAATATCAAATTATTAGTTGCTCGCCAGTAGAGTAGGAGGGTTGGCAACCTCATCCCGTAGAAAACTAACTAGCTAGAAGAACGCAAACCAGAAAAACAATGTAAATTAAATAAGTAAAGTAAGCCTAAAAGTTCCGGATTTCCCACTTTTCTTAATTTGAGCAGAGTACGCGCGTAATTATATGCTCTTATACCAAGTGTCTCATATGTTCACGTTTATTTTTGTCACTGGACGTCAATATAAAAGTCGAATGAACTTAGAATCTCCACTACTAAGGTACTCTCCTTGATAAAGTGCCAAGATGTGTTAAGTGGCTGGTCACTTCAGGTTTCATAACGTATAACACAGTATAGCGCATGTAAACTTTCGGTTATCAACCACGATGTCATTTTATTTCACTTCTCGTACTAAAATCAGTATCCCACCTCTTATATCGTAGTACAACAGTACGTCTCATTTCTCTGCAAAATACGAAATTGGGTTCAAAGCTATTTATAGTCTACGTTCGTCGTGTTTTTAGCTTTTTTTGCATGAGTCATAGATCATCCTTCAGTTGAACACCTCAATTTCTCTTACATAATAATACCAACCAGTCTGTTAAGGAACATAACGTTGAACCCAATAGTTTTGAAGTAGTTGACTATTTTAAAGACGTTCATTCTAAAAGTTGAGTAATCTTTCCCAATAGTTTCAGATTGTTTACTATTAGTTTATTATTTCATTTTTCAAAATACCTAGTTTATCTCTGAAATGTTTATCAGCAAGTGTTTTTGGCTTTACTTAAAGACATAATTAAAGCAAATATTACTTTGTCTACAGGTTAGGATTGTTCTACGAACTTTTCATCAAACGATAATTACGATACTTTAAATTTATTCGTTAATTGGATGAACTTCATTGTTTACCGTTTTTCTCTTCCCTGTCATGACTCGCATCGGTAAAGTAAATGTCCGGGACAAAGTCAAGTCTATTGTGATCAGAAATTTGCCGACTTATGTGGATGATAAACTACTTAAAAGTATTGTTCCATCGGCTAAAAAAATCAGTTCACACAAGCGAACATTTTCGATTACATTTTCCACCGTGGAGGGTTATAATGATGCATTATGTCGTTTGAAAAAAGTCGACTTCAATGGAGTTAAGGTAATATTGATAAGAGTTTGTTGTGTTTTAGTAAACGATGTTTCATTCATTAATCGGACTATCTATTTACGTTACAGCTAATTATCAAGGGTTTTCAAAGGATCTTTTCTTCATCTCTCAAAGTATTATATAAGAATTATGGTCTCATAATTGTACCAGAATGTTATGTTATGTCTGGCATATTAAATTGTAAATATCTACTGACTGAGAAAAATCAGTCATACGAGTTACAAACAATCCTGTGAAATTTCATTTACCCTAACATTTAGTAATCATTACTTTGAAAAACTTCATATTCAGAATTATTGGTTTCCTGAAATGGAACCATGGTTACCTATTTCTTCATATTTTTCCCTCAAATTATTGTTGAGATTAGTTTTTATGAAATTCTGCGTATTTCTCTTACATAAGGCATTCTTGTAAATGTACTTCTATTCATTTTTGTGTAAAATCCCAAAGTAGTAGCCTAAAAGCCAATACATAGGTGTATCAGTTTATACTCTACTTAAATTTAACCAACCACACTTTGTTATGATTTTTGGATTAGTGGATACTTACCAAACATATTTGACATACAAATAAAGCAAACAAGCAATCGTCATAATTCGTTTACAAACAACTCGTTTATGTACTCGTCTTAAAGCCATACTCAGTGTGAGACGAGTGGTACTATATGACTACTTAAACTAAAATAGACAGATGAGAATTTAAATTGACGACCAAATTGCTAAAAGCAAAATTTCGGGACGTTTAGATCGCTCATAATAAGATTGTGTTTTGTCGCCTTCAGGTTTCGAATGTGTCTGGTTCGTGAAGATTGTTAGAGTTAAGAGCAACATCGTATTATTTGATTCCATCCTGTTCTACAGGATAACAAACTAATACAAACATGACTTATAATGATTACGTTTGAGATTCGATATAACTGACCAGACTTTGTAAAAAGTCCCAAGTAATAAAGCAAGACATAGCAAGGCACCGATTGTCGACCTGGGCTATATGTATAGGTTCATACCATCTAGTTGGAATTCACATGACTATTGTGATCGATGGTTGGAAACTTTGGATGACGTGGCTCAAGATCGTTTGTAAAAGCTCCCATACATCCAGTCCCCAAAATTCTAAGCTTGTGACCGTTTTTCCCCTCTAAATTTATTTCATTAATTTATACCCCTTTCTTGAACCATATCTTCACTGCCTAATCGTCTCACCATTAATACTATTACTACTCTGTGATTTGTTGTGACGATTTCCCCTTCGCTGCGCTAACGTGGTATGACAACTTAAACCGATTTACACATATGCCGTGATTTACGCTGCATGTAGCTGATTGACTGCTATTTTATTGTCAGAATGAATGTGATAACGAAATCCAGTATAGATACACATGAAGAAGCCCTGATCTTTGTTTCCTCATACAGTTAATCTTTTCTTCATCTTCAATTTATATGAATAAGTTGCTATTTTACCAACCAACGTGGTCTATATTTACTACCTCATTTTACTTGACTATCTGTTTGAGTTTTTCAGTAACGTTTCCTAACTTAGTACTCATTAAGTTCTATGAACTATATAACTACTGTAAATTATCCAGTAATTTACGAGTCAGTCAATTGTTAACGTCCTGTCTCGTATCTATTAGTTAATATCATTTGATGTCTTGTGTTGATAAGCGTAGGTGCAGCTACTAAATTAACAGTTTAATTAACCAGAAGTATTGCTCACAAGGGTTATCCAGATCCAATAAATCAGGTTATAAGGCACTCATGATGTACAAAGCCTAGCAATAATACTAGGTTACCGAAACTTGAATAAATAAAGTTCTAATACCATATATTTGAAATTAAGGGATATGAGCACCGTTGAATTTAACTGAAATCTCAAACCGATTGTTTGATTGTGGTTGCCAAAAATTTAAACATACATTTCTTGTTATTTATTTAGTGACCAGTCCATTGGATGTACATACTGTCCAGTGATTGCTAATGTTTCTGTTGCTGTCGATACTATTGGTTGTATTGGTGAAGGTTCCTCAAGAAATACCCTTCCACGGCATGGGCAGCCGGGAAGTGACATCCACCCTCATACACGTAACAGCACACAAGACTAAATTGGTCAAAATCAAATCCTTCCTACACCCCCTATCATCACTCTTACTTCCAACGCTAACTCTTCTCATATTCCTTTATCACCCCGTACCGCTAATGCAAATGATTCGAGTTCACGAAACATTGTTCCTGTCATCCTGAAACCCCGTTCTAAACTATATGTTGGAGCATTTAATGTCCGGATATTGAGTTGCTGCTTTTAGTCTTACCGTTCGCCTGACATGGTAGGACCTAAAATAACATATGTTCTAGCCAATACAGCTCGGTTGGTTCATCACGATAAGGAAGCCCGACCACCACAACAAGGTAGCAGCTATGGTCGGGTACTGTGGATAGTAAATAAATATTAATGATTAATCTCATTAGTAAGAACTGTATATTTTAAAAGTACATCGTATTTTTAGGTTGGAAGCGAACTAGGGGCGGCCAAACCAAAACTTGGCAGAAATCCATGAAGTCACTGACAAGTGGGTTGAGCTATGTTGGTAGGTGTCGACTACCTGGCCAGGGTCCGCGGGATGATAGTAATCGATGGTTAGAGACCCTGAATGACATGGCGCAGATGCATTCATTCTTTGTGTTCTCTCAAGTCCTAACCTTCTTAATTGCTCATCACTTTTTCTTTTTAAGTTTATTTCACTAGATTCTACTTCTTGAATAATATCTTCGAACCCTAATCTCTCCGATTACTGCTAATGCTTCTACTACCTTTAGTACTTCTATGAGATATCAAGTGACAATTAGGTCTCTGTGCTAATGTGGTATGGCAATACGAGCTGATGTACGTACGTACAAAGTCCTACGTCGCAACTGACCTATTGAAACTCAAACCCAGCAAGTAAAATTCTGTTAAATACACTACCGAGTGTGTTGTGGTTATTACTTATTGGTAAAGTTTTAGTAAATTCACTGTTTTTTGTTTGAAATGAATCAGGAGTTAATTAAAACAATATAATGAATGGTCAGAAAGCTAGTTCGTCGATTCTATATTTATAAGGTTGAACACAATTCTTAGTAGTCAGGATTCTATACTACTATGTATTTGATAATGCAGCTTTTAATAAACCAAGTTTCTTTCGTGAGTATAAGTTGTTAATTAAGTAGGATGAAGATAGCCATTCAAAGAAGGCACACCACCTGGGGTAACTGTGCATCGGCCGATGTTGTCATAATTCACATCAGCATAAAAAAGAACACTAAATTAAAATCCAAATGGGTCACAGAAATGGCGCCACTAAAATTCAGAAACTTATGGGTAAACGAGAAAAAGTGGAGTAAAGGGATAAGAAGTATGAAATAATATTGTACCTTATCATTTGAAAGAAAAAAGAGATTAATAATGAATACACATACTTCACTACAGCATATTGTAAAACGGTCAACTTCAACGAAGAACTTAGTACGTATTTACATCAGTTGCCATACCACATTAGCACAGAGAGATAGCATTTTCAGGCCAAATCACAGTAGCAAAGGTAGTAACATTATTAGTGTTGATGGAAAAAATTAAGGATAAAGATAAGATTCGGAAAAATGTAAAACAGTGAAAGTGATTTTAAAAAGAAAAAAACTGTCACGAAGAATTCTAAAGCTTAGAATTTTTTGGAACAAAGAATAAGTGCGTCTGCACCACTACAAACGATTTTGACCGATGTCATTCAAAGTTTTCAACCATCGATTACCATAATAATGTGAACCACAATCAGGTGATCTGTTTCTACCCACAAGGCTCACTCCAGTAATCAGTGCCTGGAAGCAGCAACGTAAGGTTTGGTGGTGAGATTGTAGCGATTACTGCTTAGGGGTGACATTAGTAAGGTGTTTTGTTTGCTAACCTGACCTAAGTATCCTCAAATAGTATGTTAATCCCAGTACACTTTTCTGGATGTCAATAAGCCCGACTAGATAGCAGCTGCGACCGAGTACAACCTATGATGAGCCGTGCTACCCAAAGTTTCCGACCGTGGATTGTTATTATTTCATGTGTCAAATTCAATAAATTTGCTTTCACATTTGAATGATTTGCCATTAGAGTAAGATCAACACATATTTAAAGATAGTTCACAATGAATTGACATCATTTTCATTCCATGTACCATAATTGACACTTTGTTTTTCTCTAGCCAATTATAGAATCTTCTTGTCAATCTTTAAAATCGAAAAGTGTTATTCAGCCAGAAGATGTTGAGTTAACTATTCAAAACCTGCCTCAGTCGACTACACTAGCTCAGCTTAAAGTAGAATTTCCTACAGCAGTGTCTATAAAATTAAGAACTGATTTATGGGATATACAGAAAAAGTAAACTATTTTGGTTTCCATTTTATCATTTTAATTGAAACTTATGTTCTGATTAGTTAGGAATTTTATCCTTTTTAAATGAACTTTTACTTGTTAGTTAAAACTGGTCGTATGCTTATTGGGTATGAAAATTTAATTTTTTTGATAATATACTGTTGAAAACAAGGAATAACAGAAAGCATATTACTTCGTATCAAAATTTGTTGATTCGACTATTTCATTTTGTAAGTTTTTCACCTTCATTGAGGTTCGTAAAGATGGACTGAATACAGAAATATTCATCCTCGGAGTTCTCCTTAGTAGTTTTATCAGCAGTATATTAATAATAGTATTGCTCACTTGTAACTTCATAGACGCTTTTAGAAGTAAATCAGGTTGCAGGTTCAAATTTTACTCTGAATATTTCGGTTTAGAGCTTGAGTAATATTATCGGTTTTCATACTAACAGTGGAGCTCAGAACCAATTATGAGATTCTGTACATTGTAAATTACTTTTAACGCAGCATTATAAATAGATTTGATTGTGAGTGAAAATGTACTGTCACACTAAGTGATGTAGGCGCAAATCATGCGGTAAACGTGTCAGCTTCCTACATAGTAGTGATATGCCTAGTAGCGTAATTTATCACTGAAGGTATTTCCCCTGGTTCCTGTTTTATTTTTAACAGATGATGTGCTGTTACATATTATAAACTTTAATTTCTGTAAATCCGAGTAGTGGTGTGTTTTCCAAACTATCCAGCGGTCAACTACTACCTTGTTTCAGCTACTTCGGTTTGAAGAACCACACTATATACTGTAGTCATACAAAAATATCCCGTTTAAATTTCACTATACTAAACTGCAATTTAATAATCAATTACAATCCATGTCATTGTTGATTGCATGAATTGCAGTCAATCAAACGTCGATCAGCTAAGTTGCAAAATGCTTAACTGACTAAAATATTTACTACTACTATATATAAGTTATTTATTCTATGCATCTAGTAAACTTAAGTTGAAATGACTACTACCGCTAATATTTTTTACACATATACACTGTAACTGAAAGCATATCCGTTGAATAATTTTTAACGAACTAGTTTATGTCCCGTTTTGTTGTTGTTTTTACTACATACTAATTTAGGTCATGTTTGCTGAAGTTTCAATGTTCTGAGGATCTTGAAGATGTTTTCGAAGATTGTCATCATAAATTAATTGGAGGTCAAACTATTAAAGCTGTGATTGGCGCTCAATCAACTCTTCATTATGAATCCTCTGGAGTTGACGATACACAAGATATTTATGGAATAGAACTGGTTGCAGTATCGCCAAATATTTCTAATGATAAAATTCGTAAACAGTTTCCTGAAAATGCTATAGTTGATTATCATTCAATACCTAGTAATGATTCAGTCACTAGGTGAGGAAAATATTAATTTTTTTGATTATTGAACTTGACTTCTTCTAAAGAAATATACACATCGTAGGTTGTTTCTTATCACAAACTAATGTTAGCTGAAGAATCCCCGAAAACCAGTGAGAACACTAATTATGTATTTCCATTCGTATTATGCATTTATAACCTCATCCGTTTGTATCACACATAGTACGAGAACTACGTGTAAAAGGTTTATCATGAACACAATGGTTGATAATAATTGGTCTTATTTTTAATTATTATTACTCTAGGAATGTATTTATTCGCTTCAAAAAACAAGTATTTAATTGGCCACTTATTATGATGTTAAAAAAGAATGCATTTAGCGGATTTCCTTTTGAATGTCGACCATGGAGTAAGTATCAATACGTATTGTTTTATGAGATATTATATGGTTGCTATCTTGCGTTTTATTTAATATCTCCTTTTTCCGAAAGTGGTAATTCACTGATAAAGATTCATTTTTGTTCCTTAACTTTCTAACCCTTAGCTGGTTAGTTTGTTTTTAGGCTGCTGATTTGCGCGTTCAAATGTCGTCTTTTAGACTAATATTTGTTTATTATTCCGTTTTTATTGAATCAACTATATTGTAGATCACCTTACAGAATCAATACGACAAGATTTTAAGGTTGAAAATAATTGTGTGAATAAAGGAGGTCCAGGTTAGTAGTTTTTTTAATCTTACATTATCTCAAAAAGACCTTGTTTTCTAACCAGAGCGTATTCAGTTGGTGAGTTTCTGAGCCTAAATCATCTGAGGTCCTTGGGTTACATGTTTTACTCGTGTTTAGCTATCATTTACGCTTGCAATCTGTCCTATCCTGCGTAAGTGATTCAAAAAACGTCAAAGGAAGGTAGACCAGAATATTACTTCATTCTATTAAGTTATTGACTTTCGGTCACAATCGTGTCGACACATTTAGTTCTATTTGGTGTGGTTTCATCGATATCTGTAATTTAAAGTTAGACTTTGGTAAACATGTCTCGAAATTAATCTACACAAACTTTTTGTTCCTCTCAAAATCTTGAACACACGACCATTACATACTGTTCATTCATTTATATTATCCCTCATTTTAATTTTATTGTTTTTGGTTATCAGTTACTGTTTGGATTATACTTTTCAGTACTTACTTAATATCTTTTGTTAATTTTCACTCAGTTTGAAGACGTGAACTATTGTAAATTCACGTCAGATATTACGTTTTCATCTGGGTGTTTGTCTATTCTATGTAGACAACAACGAATAAAAGTACGTAAATAATCTTGAGCTATATTTTGCCAGCATTGTATCAAATAAATGCAGCCCATCGACTCCCGGCTATCGTGGGTAACTACAAACGTGACAAGTGGCACTGGATTTCTCCATGAACATGATACCAGTAGTGTCCAGGGAAACTTCAGAACGTACTGTCAGTTTTTTAAGCTTTTTTGGGAGCCACTGTTTTGGCAAAAGTGTCAGTATAACGTTCCATCTGTTGTGATAACCCTACTATGAACAATGGTCTATCTACTAATTATCCGAAAGCAAACCATATATTGTGTTGTCCATGTAGTGCCGAACGTTCTTCGAAGGGTAATAATACTGCATATCACGATTCTTCTGCATCCGATGCACACGAACAAACATCGAGCTGTAAATATAGGCTTATTCCAATAACATCAATTTATGAAAAGACTGCTTTTACTTGAATGTCGTTGAACAAAACCACATATTTTCGTTACCTTTAAAATAATCTCGTAAGCCAAGAAAGTGACCCCAATAATTCAGACCACAAGAAATGCTGTTAATGCAGAGTACTATTAAACTTGTGAAATTAACACAGGTTCATAACTATATATTCAACCTGAATCGCAAGTGGTTACTAGCTGTGTAGTGAACGAGGACGTTAAAACCAGATGCAACAAGTTATTTATATATTATTTGTTAGCTAAGTGTGTGCACCTTATCCTCAAATCCTATTTGCAATACAAGCAGATTATTGGCTATCTTATTTCACATGTCTTCTAATCTTAAAACACTGATCACTCTATACATCTGGATCCGACACTTCGCTCCAGTAGCACTGTACTGTATACCACTCTCAAGCCTTGTGAATAGTATACACCACAGCTGTAAACAAAGTTGAATTACTTAAGGATAGAAGTGAGTAACAGAGTAATAATCCGGATTTGTTGGATTAGCTGACTCGCGTTAGTCCGGAAAGCTTGGTAACTTTATGATTAAAATACATGTGCGCGTCGGTCACATCAGGCTATTGTAAAAGTCTCAATAATATACAACATTAAAGGGTGCGCTGTCCTAACAGATCTAATTATCATCGTACTCACATAAAACCAGGTATGCGCATCAGTTCAAGTTGCCACACCATATTAACACAGAACTATCGAAAAAATTGTCACAAACCTCAGAGTCATGGAGGTAGAAATAGTATCAATAGTGATAAAATATGAAAGGATTTCGAGATTTAGGTTATAAGGAAAAGTAGTGAGTGAACCTGTCATTGAGTTATGCCATCCGAATCCTCTGATCATTAGCTACGATAATCACAAGAACCTCAACCAATTAGTCTGCACCTATAAAGAGATATAATGAGTCAAGACTCACTCAATCGCAGTTACCAACCCGAAACTTAATCAATTCAGTTGTATCATACGTTTGATCTGTAGTGGAACGCTTCTACGAAGAAAATACGATTTTTAAAAAATAAACGTTATTGTACTCATTTTGTTTAACCATACCAAAAACACTTCTTGAGCGCAAAGTTCTCTTCGCGTTGCTGCCATTTTTCTTAACGCGCTGCTCCCTATGTAATGCCTAGTTCCTACTCCAATAAAATATTCAAATATGGATTTATTTTTATTAAAATGGCGGGTTAGTATGGGACATTTAGTGGTGATCATAGTCAATCAGGTATCTCACCACTAAAGATTTAAGACAGTTTGTATAGGAGATTGCAAAAATCTTGACCTCAGAACAAGAATGATATGAATCAAAGATCTATCTCGCCTTTACATAATACTCAGTATATACAAGTGAATTAAGTATGTTTTGATCGTTTACTGATTGACATCATTCACTGTATGGGCATAAAATGTTACAAAGCTGTTTATCGTCTTTTTGGCACCCCTCCTAATCTTAAACCGTATTTTATGTATTGTCGCTACTCGTCGGCACGATATTCTAGCTTTTCCTGCTGATCCTTGCGCATATTTGTAAATAACGGTCATCTAATTTTACGATGATATACTGAAGTCGACTACAAAATTTTGAGTCAGTAGTTACATATTAATCAGTTTGCTGAAATTCTTGTGGGCTTTTACGTTACTGCTTAATAAGATTACTCTTTTTACTTCTATGTATAATGCTAGAAAATCTCTACTTTGTGTTGTTTGATTTAAAAAATCATCTCTATATTTTAGGAGTTGGATGAAGAGAATAACTCACCCTCTAAATGCCATCATCTTAGGCTGTGTAACAAGAATGATAGAACACTTATTTTTGTAAAAGAATCTGATATTTTACAGAGAACATTTCCAACGCATAATGTTAGTCATGAATCTTACTTACTTTTAAATAGAAATTTTTTCAGCTTTATATCTCGCTCTAATTTGCTTTATTTTGAGTAGTTCTATATGCTATTGTCAGCCCCATAAACATGTACTTAGGTTATCTATTTTTATTGGTAGATATGAATCAGAACTAAAGAATCGGCTGAAAAAATATACTTTGATTTGATGCAAGTTCGTTGTAGTTACACATCAGCGCAATCTAGCGAAGATGTAAATAATTTTCAAGAGACTCAATGAAAGCAACATCATAATCAGTTAGGATTAAGTTATAGAGAATTTTTAATAATGAAAAAGATTTCATGTTATCCAGACATAGAGTGGTAAACGACATAAATAGGTTACTGACACCTTATAACACTGAATACAAAGAATTCCGGGTGACTCCGTCTGAAGTATCTTACGTCAACAGCTGTTAATGAACACTTGTATCTCCTGGATGATGGCCTAGGTAGTTCTCCAAGTTTCCGCCCCATACAGTAGAATTGTCTTAACATTTGTATTGAAAATTCTGGCTTCAGTGTTGATTGACAGTTGTTTTGAGTTCTAGATATTGTTCAATTGTAGAAATGCATCCCTTGCTTTGCCTATCCGCGCATTCATATCTGCATCAGATCGATCTTGCTCGCCAATGATGCTGCCCAAATATGTAAAGGTATTTATAACTTCCAAAGCTTAACCGTTAAGTGTGCTTTGATTGTTGCATATTGTATTGTGTTGGAAACTCTTGCTTTTCCTTTGTGTATGTTGAGACCTATTGCTGCTGCACTGGTCGTCTTCTGAACCTTTTATTGATAAAGACATGCTCGATTTGATTCTGTGTGGTATGATCCGGTGAAATTCATGTAGCTTTGTGTGGAAATATTGTCCCGTCTATGACCAGTTTACATAAAGTGATCCATAGATCATAATATTTAAACAATTAGTACATAGGATTAGTGTTTAATGATACACCGCAAACAACAACGATTCATATCCTACACAAATTATATGAATAACCAACTCATAGTAAATGTGAGACAGTTCAAACTTGCCAAGTACGTCACTAACTGGATAAAAGACTTGTCTCATGACCTTTGACTTTTACTATACTTGCGATCTAAGAATAGGTTGGAAGAAAGCCATGAGCGGCCAGACAAAAACATGGCAGAAATCCATGAAGTCGCGGACAACTGGACTGAGTCATGTTGGTAGGTGTTGACTATCTGGTCAGGGTCCGCGAGATGATATTAATCGATGCTTAGAGACCATGAATGACACAACCGAAGGAACTCGGCTTTCATCATGAGACGTCATAACTCTTCTGAAAGAAGACCTAACGGCCATGACAGAGTTAAAATTGGTTAAATCTAGTCTTTGGTCTAGCGATTTTTAGCGAGTTAGTTTTCTACGGGATGGATTGTATCTCCAAGCCCAAACCTCCTTTATCCGACCTCGAGTCCAGCAGTGGCCCTAGAGGGGCTACGGGTGTAGTTTTTGCAATGCTATCATCTCTGAATTTATAACTGATAAAGGTTACCAATTCATTGAGTGAGGATGCGTTCGAGTTATTTGCATCGGTGTTTAAGAAGGATGCACTCATGTTCTTAACCTGGATAAGGCGTTTTTAGTCATTGCTGAAACTCACTGGAAATAATGTACACATTTAGTTGACAAGTAAAATAGAATATTACTAATTAGGAATGGATACGTTTTGATGAAATGATTGGTAGATGATCATATTTAAACAATCCGTACATAGACATAACGTTTAATGGTACACCGAAAACAAGAGTTAAGCAAACTACAGCCGTTCTTTCATCTCACTGAACGAGACTTAATTCGCACTTCTCTCCTAATAGTACTATATCGCAGGGCTGTCTTCTCTCGTAACATCCATATCAATCGAGAGTAGCGTACTTTGGCAAAGGAATGCTTAGTTTCGTAAGGTGACTTTTAGTTGCGAACGTACGGAAATTCAAGTGGCCCCACGAAACTACATTTCAATTCAGTTAACCATCTTATAAACTTGCACTCTGGTTATAAAAATTCATAACGCAGAGGCTGATTATTATGGCTTTCAAATGGAATAAAGGAAACACAATGTTTATCTGTTGTAAACGGACGACTTTATTTTGGTATCCTTTTGTACAAAATCCGACAGTTAAAGGTTGTTTAGAGGAACAAATAATTTTATATCAATATATACAGATGTATATCTTTTATTCGCCCCCTGTAATGACAAGTATACTATTCATCTGAAAAAAATCGGAAATGGTAAAATTCATATTTTGAGCACAATCTACTGAATAATTGTTTGAATAGATGAAGTCAAAAAAACAATTTCGAGGTCACCGATTATTCACAAGATTACTATCATGCGTTATGGACTATAGAAGTTGTTCTTTTATAGAGAAAAGTCCTTCAGGCACACAAGAAACAAAAGTTGTTGTTACAACAACTATTCCACAAAAGGCGCTTGTTAAAATATACTCTTTAACTTTAACGCTTAAAAGGCTTGTTCATGTATGTATCACTGAAAATCAGTTGTCAAGAGTGCGAGATTCATTGATTCTAAAATTGAATCTGTGAAGCAATAAAGATTGCCCCTAAGGATTTAAATTTACACACAGGCATACCTAAACTCCTTTCAGAAGGCATCAACAAAAACTTCAATGAAATTGTTGCTCGAAACCGATCGAGGTAGTGTAGATGTGCACATTCTTTACCTTCATATCCAGTTTGTCATTTTTCGTTTTTAAACCCGATTGTGTTTCTGTTATTGCTACCATTGACGCAATTCTTCCGAGCTTATCTTCTTTCACTCCCTTAATTTTTTGTGCCAAAAGAGGTTGACGGAAACTCGTCCCAGGTTTTATATTGTTTATAATTGAAACGATTCATTATAACAACAGTTGTAACTATGCAGCTCAATAATCCATGTATTTATGGCCTGGAGAGGTTATCAACAACTTTGGCATTTCATGTGGTCAAAATAATCACTGATTGTAACAAAAAATATAACGGAAGTAAACGCTATATCGACATACGAAAAAGTTGGAAACGTGAAGAATTTTGATAATTTTCAACTAGGGTGAACACAGCTTACGAAGGCGGGAGTTGATCTCTAGACAAGCATAAAAATCGAAAATGTGGGCCATCGATGTAAGATGTTTACGGAACCACAATTATTCAGCCATAGGATTCTTATTAATGTAATATACATTCCCCAGAGACGTATTAATTGAAGAACTATCTCTAAAATCTTATGAAGAAAGGTATTTAACGTACTATTGTGTCTGTTTTTCTTTTACGTTTGCGATCAGGCTGCAGTTAAATGTTCAATACACGTTATTTCAAAAGGAATACATAAACTAGTTGAATCAATGCTGCACAATTTACTGGGAAATATATCTTACTGAATGTGCTATAGTGAACATTTAATGGGGACCAGTATCAATGAACTATGATTTATCTCCGTTGACCAGCTGAATAGTAGTCTCTAACCAGGAAATTTATATGTTGTGGGATTAGTCTGCAAAGGACATCTTGTAATTGATTGAAACTTTGAAAGCTAGTCCTGACGCCTCATATCGTGAGATGATAAATAAAACTAGTTTGCAACCAGCAACTTTACTTCGTTCTGCGGTTTTCATTGCTTCTTGACCAAATTCTATCGGCATTTTTCTGGACGATAAAGGCATTACCACTGCCAAAATGTTAATTTTGCACAAAACATTGTTAGTGATAATCTAATAACGGCTTATTCACAGCGAAAAACAATACAAATAAAATCAAATACGATTTTGCAAGTAGATAATTTAACACATGAAATATATTATCCTTACCTACCTTCATTAAATACTATGTGTTTTAGATTATCACTGATCTGATTCTTATCTTGAATTCCGAACTCCTTTTTCTTATGAGAACGAGGACGTTTTACTAAAATAACATTGTAGATAAATAAGTGAGTAACCATATATACCAAAACTGAGTAAGTCCTTGTTGTGTTTGTCTTATAAGAAATACGGGATCAAAAAACAACCACATTAAATATGAAGTACGATCACTTCACTATTTGAATATTTACTTACACGAATGTGAATCAGTCATGTTTACGTCCATGCACTCAAATTTCCGTTTTTTTAATTTATGTTCCTTGCTGGCTAGATAGATAAAAAAAGTAAAACGATCGTCAGTGTGATTAACCCGATATCAGTCAGTCATTTACAAGCCGATATAGATCACTACAGTATGCTATTTTTTAAGTAAATCATGAGAACCATTTTAAGTAAGAGTGACGAGTTTAACGATAAGTTTGTGAATCTATACAAAATGAAATAATAGAATCGCGTACCATGTGCGATGACAGATTGTTGGGTATTATGAGGTGATTTCAGTAAATGTTGGCATCAAAGATTTCACACCCGTTCGTTCCCCGTAGTTAACGGGGTAGGTACAAACTTTACAATGTTATGAAATGAAAGTAACCAGTGGTTTGATATCTGAGTTGATTACAATAGAATACATTCACTTACTCTTTACTTACAGTAAAAACTTCAATTTTGTAGCACTTATCATGTTTCCTAATGATTCGTTTCAGTTTTTTCATTTATTTAAATCACTTGATCCCTTCGTGTGGTAAGTTGAAGGGACATGCTTCAATGGAAAGCTTTACATGTTGTATGTCTTTTTTTTTGCACCAATCACCTACACTGTAATATTGTCAAATGTAAGTTTTCTCGAATGCAATAAAATGAGATATGAGTAGATTGTTACGATATTTAAAGTGTACAAAGTAGAAGATGCATAAAATTAGCATTCACCTGAATTCGAAGACAAAACTTCAGTATTCTCTACGGAAACATCCATCTTTTCAAGTTTTCGTTGTTTCAATTTATTCTCTTTATCTGTTCAATAAATTACAATAAGAATACACACAATTAAACTTAATACATCACAGATCCTGTAAAGTGTGTAAATAATCAGCTTTACCTGGAAAGAGACTGAAGAAAGCGTGTGACATTTTGATTGAAATGTGAACTTCCTTTGGTTTCAATGGGTAAAAAGTTTAGGACTATTATTTAAGTTTCTTCCACAACAAACATGTACTGTATTATCTGAACATTAAAGTAGGACGTCACAAATTAGCGTTTAAAATGTTTTGAATTTCTAAGAAATTTCTGTGATAGTTTTGGAAAGAAAATTTAAAGCTCTTTGATAACTATCGTCTGTCAAGTAGGAGAACGACAATACCAACTACTAGAATGAGGAATTAATCAGGAACTAGTGTCAAGCGATAATATTTATCGCCTTTCAACCATTAACATAATCATTGATATAGAATGATGAATGTACACTCAATCAGTGGTAATAGTTAACAGAATATTCTTCTATATTGGGTATTTCATCAGTCAGCTGGAACGAAGGACTGAGTTCGTACGTACATCATTTCAAGTTGCCATATCATGTTAGTACAGACGGATACAGAAAGCTCGATTGGCTTTTACCAACCTGCGTCACTTATGGCGTAGGCGAAATATCCGTTCACTGACCAAAGGACGGGTGTACTGCGCAGTAATTCGCTCCGTTCTCCTATATGGATGCGAAACATGGCCGTTAAGAGTAGAAGATGTTCGTAGGTTACTAGTATTCAATCATAGATGTTTAAGAAGCATTGCTCGTATATCGTGGGACAACCGAGTAAGCAATGCTGTCGTTAGGAAACGAGTGCTAGGTAAGGATGGCAGATCAATAGATGAAGTAGTGAAACTTCATCAGTTGAGGTGGCTGGGACATTGGCTGCGTATGCCCAACCACCGACTGCCTCGACGAGCTATTTTTTGTGGTGTAGGAGTAGGTTGGAAGAAAGTTAGGGGCGGCCAGACCAAAACATGGCACAAATCCATGAAGTCACTGACTAGTGGACTGAGTCATGTTGGTAGATGTAGACTACCTGGTTGGGGTCCGCGAGACGAAAGTCACCAATGGTTAGAGACCTTGAACGACATGGCTCAAAATCGTTTGCAATGACGCAAGTGCATGCATTCGTTGAGCTCTCTCAAATCCTAATTTTCTGGAATCGTCAGCACCTCTACCTTTGTCTTTTTAAACTTATCTCACTGAATTATATTTCTTGAATAATATCTTGAAACCCTAGTCTTCCTCATTACCATTAATACCCCTACTATCTTTATCACTATGAGATTTGATTTGACATTTGCGTCTCTGTGCCAATGTGGTTACGGCAACATGAACTTATGTACATACGTACGAAGTTCTACGTTGCAACTGACCGACAGACGAATGGAAGTGTCAGTTTAAATCCCATAGCAATAAAGGTTGTAGCAGTATTAGAGGTAATAGGTAAGATTTGGAGACGAAGATACGATTTGAAAATTATAACCAGTGAAATAAATTCAAAGAAGAAAAAACGGTCACGAGGAAGTCAGATATTTATAATTTTGAGAAAGACAGGATAGATGCATTTGTGCCGTTGTAAGCGACTTTAAGACGTCATTCAAATCCTCCAACTACCGGTTACAATTGTATCGCGGGACCTAACCAGGTAGTCAGCAACTAATAACGTGGATGTCCATTCTTCGATGACTTCATGGACTCCCGAAATGTCAGAAAGCATTATCACTAGAGGCATCTCAATGACGGAACTAAGTAAACATGAGGTAAGAGTATAATTTTGACAGATACAACCAGAAGTAATCAATTTCAGGCGACGGCTCATCGTAAGTTTTGACTCAATCAGCAGTGTTCGGTTATTGAGCCTGTATAAGGTTAATGTACTTCTATGGTATGGCCTCAATGACAGACACTGCCACAGAACCTCACATTCAACGGAGTCGAACACCACCTTAAGGTCAAGAAATACAACAATTTTCGAAAGCGTCTACGTGCTAGATCATGCGACATCCTATGCCTACACCGACGAGGCCAGGGGAAGCAGCTGTGAGGCTTTCAGATAATTACGTACGCCTGTCACCCCCGATGGAGCATAGGTGGCCAACCGGCATTCCCCAATCTACTCTGTCCTGAACCTCCCTTTCCAGTTCTGTCCAAATTTCGTTCATTCTCCTCATGTCAGTCTCCATCTCTCCGGGCAAAGTGTTCCTCGGCCTTCATCTTTTCCTTTGAGATTGAGGGTTTCAAGTGAGGGTTTATCTTGTGACGCAGGTGGGTGCTTTCCACAAATGTGTCCTATCCACTTCCATCGCTTCTTCTTGATTTCCTCATCCACTGGAATCTGGTTTGTTCTCTCCCACAGTAGATTATTCCTGATGCTGTCTGGCCAACGGATCTGAAGTATTTTGTGTCGACAACTGTTAATGAACACTTGTATCTCCTGGATGATGGCCTAGGTAGTTCTCCAAGTTTCCGCCCCATACAGTAGAATTGTCTTAACATTTGTATTGAAAATTCTGGCTTCAGTGTTGATTGACAGTTGTTTTGAGTTCTAGACATTGTTCAATTGTAGAAATGCATCCCTTGCTTTGCCTATCCGCGCATTCATATCTGCATCAGATCGATCTTGCTCGCCAATGATGCTGCCCAAATATGTAAAGGTTTTAACGTTTTCCAGGGCATCCCCACCAAGATTGATTCGGTTGGCTTTCAGATACACAAGGTAAACTGTAACGGTTCATGCTTGGCATGTTGGGACCTAAAAGAACATGTCTTCCAGCCAATATTGCTCGGTCGAACAATCCCAATAAGCAAGTCTGACCACCACGTCAAAGTGGCAACTATGGTCAACGTTCATGTAAGTACAACATACTAACATACAACATACTAAGTACTAGCAACACTCAAATTATACAACTAACCAAGGATAATTAAGTCAGGTTAGCAATCAAAATAAGTCACATTAAAGGTGAACGAATTGATTATCTAGCAATTATAGATGAGCATGGCCATTTAAACATAGTTTTCAATGTTTAGCTAACGTACTAGGTAACCACATTATCATTCTAAGTTGAAATACCAACTACTGCAGCACAAGGGCATATACAACGAAAATTTATGAAATGTTGCACCACAAACACCCGAATGAGAATAAAATTTCTTTCTTACCTGCGTCAGAAAATGTCGTTTCTTCATTTCCCACTGGAACAATTATCTTGAGTTTTGGTTTTTTACGTTTATTTTTTTTATCTACCAGACAAAGCACAGAGAACACGTGTTTATGCTTCGTGTACTAAAAATGTATAGTAAAATCCACTCCCACCCCTAAGTGACACGAATTGAAAATTGGATGGTTGATTAATCAATAGAAACATTTATTTAACGTCGCAAATTAAACCAACTACGAATTATCATAGATTCAATAGCGTGAATCGAATTCCAGACTCAGACTAAAAGTTACTTAATTCTGCCCTCTTTTAGTTTGTTGTGGGTATTTCAGTTGATATCAGAAATCGCGAAAGAATAAATCGTTATGGGTACATGGCAAAATTCAACTGTTGAATGTTGGTCACCTTAAAGAATTGAAACAAACCTAGACGCAAAAAATATTTCACCAAAAGTTTATACATAAAATGCTCACCGTCAGTTAGTGAATTTATATCAATTTTTTGAGATTTGGAGCCCTTTTTGCCTGAGTATAGAAATAAATAGTAGGAGAATAAGAATCAAATATTTATTTGTAATTTATTAGCAAGTGTATAAACAAAGGATATTGACTGGACAGTATACATATATTATTAAATAAAAGGTTGAATAGCAACTTCAGATGACTGTGGACACTAGACCAATAATTCCATGTCCAAGCAAGTACCATGATCCCAAAGAATCGTACAACTGTACATAAAAATTCTGTCGGTCAGCTGATTCGAAGTATCCTAGTAAATGAAACTTCCTATTTCAAACAAGACTGTTATTGAAGCACAGAATTATTTGTCAGTGAACAACTTGTAAGGCTATAATTTTTTCTATCATCTTACCATATACACTAGTGTGTAAAAATAACCCGCATATTTTAATTTTAAAAATATTCGAGGTGCTTTTATCATCACAGATTTCCGATAAATTGTGTTTTTCAAACGATGAGATGAAGAAAACAAAATATAGAGTACATAAGACAGGTACTGGTTATTATTAATTTAATCCAAATACAATTTATGTTCCTATTCTACACTAAATAATGTGAGGCCTGTAGTTCCTAATAAAAATAACTTTCACAAAATAAAATTCATTTCCAACTTGACAGTTGCTCTACGCAACTGAATCCGATGAACTAGTCTGAACAATTAATTTTGTGCCAAGGTTAGAACCCCATCTCACTGCTAGATTCCGGCTATTAAGCAATGCCATCATTCTTCACTTAGCAAGTGTATCGTTGTACGCGTGTTCGCTATGATCATATTAGATATTTACGAATACAAAAATACTTACACCATACATGTATACGCAGACGATGCTCGTCGATACCTTTTCTTCGAAGTTTCTTAACAATTAACTGATTAGATGCAATGTTTTTGAGCGTGAGAAATACATTTCTAAAGAAAAAAGAAACATATGACCCATTAGAAATAAAGAAAGGGAGTCTACACATATTTCGGAAATGAACAATGTTTTCTTATACGAGATATAATAATCTGTCCATCAAAAGAATATATGTACCGAATGACCCACAATAATGACAAAGGCCAATAAGCAAATAACGACCTTTTACTTTAGTCCATTGTATCATAACTATGTATCCAATTTACTTGCAAAATGTTATACTGAACATTCAAACTTAACAGACACATTTTATTCAAATAAATTATAACCATGAGTGCCTCGTGACGTTTTTTTCTCTTTTTAAATTTACCACACTGGATTATACTCCTCGAATCATATCTTCGGATGCTAATCTTCTCAATTACCACTAATACTTCTAGTACTTCTACTTACGATAGGACTTGAATCAACACTTCCATCTATGTGTGCTAATGTGGTATGGCAACTTGAAATGATGTTTCTACGTATCAGGTTCTACGTTGTAGCTGAATGAGTGTAAAAATGTGCGGAAAAGTGAACAAACATATTACCTGCATGATGGATTACTAGTAGGCACCGAACAATATTCAATGATGGAACCCAACGGAAACTGTTGCCGAAGTCGATCATCATCTATTACTGTAGACAATTTGCATATTTTTATGCCAAATGTACAAGCCTTTTCATTATTTGCCTTTGAGTTTTCGGATTTTAATTTAAAATGAAGACCGGGCAATGCGTGTACACGACGACCACCGATGACCTTATTCTGACAAGCATCCAGAACAACTTGAAGATCATCATGAGATTCAAACTCTATCAAACAAGATCTAAGAAAATCAAAAATGATTTGAGAAATAAATTGATAAATTAGAATATCAGGTGAGAAATTTAGAATAAATTAATTTTGAACTAGTTGCTGGCAGCATCATAGTGTCGACTGGAATATTTTTGTTCACTAGTTCTATAACAACATGTGTGTTGGTGAATAAATCTGGCAAACAGAATCTAACGAAATGGACTTATAACCTTACTCAGAGTTCAACATATTTGTGTATACAATCTAGCATTTTCCAACTAATAAATACTACCAACACAGAAATTCTGATCCATAGAGCAAATTATCAAATGAATTGTTAAGCATGTCTTCAAGAAGCTGACTATGAAGGATTAGCTGGTCTATGCATCTTTTTTAAAAGACTATTCTATTGAACGACGGGATATAAAATATTTACCTGTCTTACGGTTTCATAAACTATCTTGGCCAAACGTAACCCTATTTTTTTACGACAAAATGAAATCTATCTCAAATGGAAACTAAGTGAGAAATCTGGAGATTTTTACCATAAAATTTAGAGTTTAATTCTACTGTAAATGAGTTACAGCCATTTCAACATTATCCGAGAGTGGTAGAAAATAAATGAAATCTCAAAGAGTCGTTGATCTGCGTTAGAAGAATTATATTCATAGTATTAGCTGTCTTCTCTTGAAGTATCATCAACCAGTTTGTCCTGTTATTTACGTTAAACGTTTTCTATTAACTTTCACCCGTTAATAATTTACTAGCAGGAGTAATTTACCATCATCTGCGACCACTGTTATGACTGTGATGGTTTACACTTCAGTTGCTTTTGACTACTGTGATATAATTTTATTAAAATAACTTACTAAACTGTACACATCAAAACATACAACATTTTTTAAAGTCTTAAAAGATATGAAGCGCTGTAATGCTAATTCGGAATGAAAAACTCGATTTTTAAGAATCCCAATTTAACATCAATATAAAGTATAACCATCATCCCGGGAGTATTAGCATGTAAAACTTAATTTAAAGAGGGAGAAATATATAAGTCTTACCCTTTGCTAATCCCATTTTCCTTCTTATTTATGATAATTGATTTGGCCGTAGGAAATTCATCTTGTAACTCAGTTTCAGTAGTAGAATATGGTAAGTTTCGAATAGTAAGCCTTAGTTCACCACTATCAAGTTTCTTCTTTTCATTTTTATCATGGCGAATAACTTGCTTAAATGATGGCTTCATTAATGGATAGATAAGTAAACGAATATAGCAATCAAAACAAAACATAAAACGATGAATCAATAAAACAAATTGGTAATGTATTTTGACAATTATTTGCATATTGTGCATGGCCGAACTGTAACAAGAAATAGTTAGACGTTGAACTGAATTTGGAAAACTACCAAAGCCGCTATTCAAAACATGAAGATATTTATACAGTTGGCTACGCATAAGACTCCAGATCCGCTGGTCGGATATCATCAGCAACAACCTATTGCAGCAGAGAATAAATTAACTACAGAAGACATTAAGAAAAAACGCTGCAGGTGGATAGAGCATACATCACGGAAATCCCCAGGCTGCATCACATGGTAAGCCCTAACTCGAAGTCCTCAAGGCAAAATTAAAAGAGGAAGACCGAAGAACACAGAGTTGGATATTGGAAGCAGGTATCAAAAGAATGAATAGCACTTGGCAAACGTTGGAAAGGAGACCCCAGGTCAGAGTAGGTTGGAGATTGTTAGTCGGCAACCTGTGCTCCACAAGAGGTGACAGGGTTAAGTTAAAAAGTTCCGTTCAGTATTGTATGATGTCTTTTCTTGATATTCTTATGGATGGGTTCTGAGACAGTAAGATTTTAATACGAAAAGATATCGATTATGTAGTTAATTTGAATACAGAACTACCAGGGCACAGCTTATATTGGTGTTTCATGATACGGTAGAATAGCCCCTGTCGGTCAGATCACACAACCCATATTCGAAACCATGGTTTCTAGTAAGCTTACTCAACTTCAAAATTTCCGAGATTAGACTGGTTTAAACTGGTCAGCTAGTTAGGGCCAGTCCAAAAAACGAAGTATTCAAACCGAAATACGTGAACAAAGAATATTATTTTGACGTTCTGCGGTCGTATATGTGAATAAAAATCCCAAAAGTGGCCATGTTTAAGGAGAAATATATCGTTGAAGATCATACCACGTAAATTTAGGACTGTTTGTATAATGAAATAAAATTATTAATGTTGACATGACTAATATGCATTGTTGAGTTGGATAAGTTTTATACGTAGGTGAATTGTAAGATTAATGATCTGACTGAATATACATCAGATAAGATCGGAGACACATATGTGAAGAAACCCCACCATAGAACCGATGACTAGAGAAAAGTAATTAAATTTGACAGTGGGAGAAGAACTTTAGAATAGAAGTGATAACCCCGCATAGCGAAACCCTCAGAAGCCGGAAAGCCGATATCTCTTCTCACAACCAGAGAAACAATAAACATACGAACATGGAATGCCTGAACAGTGTGAAAGACCATAAGGCTCATTCGAATTCATAAATTAGAAGATACATGTTTTTGCTTGAAACTGAAACTGATTGAACATAATCTGGAAAAAATATACCAGCTTCGAAATGGACACTGTTGTATTCCACTCATGAAGAAGAAAATGACACACAATGGTTTGCATTGATACTCCTAGGAGTATATAATTAAGAGCTCATACTACAAGACCATCAAAGCATCCTTCAAAACAAAGAAGTCAAACAGTATAATAAATCTCGTTCAGTTTTATGTGCCCACCAAAAATAGTAGTAGAGACAATGAGAGAGAGAATGCAGTCAACCGTGAAGAAATGTTCAGGGAAAGACTTGACAATCCTGAAGGGGGATCCACACCCCAAAGTAAGGTGGACCTCACTGGATGTCAGAGTGTCATGAAGTGACACGGACTGTGAGAAAGGAATGACAATGGAGAGAAACTGGTAAATCCATATGCTCTCTACAACATGGTTAAACATGGCACCGTTTCCCTCCAGAGACTCATGCACTTAGCTGTGGGGTTTCCGACAAACCACATCACAGAAAACCAGATCGATCACATCTGGATCAATGCAAAACTCAGAATATCAGACATGAAAACAAAGAGACGAGCTTATGCATCTTCAGATCATCATCTGGCGGCGGTTAAGCTAAAGCTGGGGCTGAGAAGACATTGGACAAGCGGTACCGAATATGTCTGGCATAGTCTTCCTTAGAGATACCAACAAACTCAGATAATTCAAGATGGCTCTGAACGGCAAGTTTTAAGCCTGAAAACATCTACTGTTAGAAAAGGAAACCAGTGTCAGGAACAACTGAGAGATCGAACAAGCAACAATTCCAATGTGCCAAGGGATTTTGGGTTGCAGGGAACACCTTGAACAAGATTCGAGAAAAGAAGGCCAAGACAGCATTCAACTGTGGCCGAGTGAAAGCAAAGAAGTTCAAGGCACAGTGTAAATATGTGGAAGCAACTAAATGAGTAAAGAGAAGTAATCGGCAGAAAAAGCTGCAGGAGGAAGAAATTTGAAGGAACTATATGATACAAACAAGAAGCCGACAAGAAAGTGTAATAGACCTGATTAACTAATCAGCAACGAAGGTTTAGCAACACTTGAAAACTTTGACTGGCACTGACAGTAGTGCTTTTCCTCAGCAGTTCTCACTCATCTTACAGATCAACAAGCCGGATTTCATAGGGATTGATTGAGTACCGACCAAATCTTAACAATCAGTTGAATGCAACTTATAACTATATATCAACTTCCTTGACTATGGGGAAGCATTCGACTGGGTGTATAGGGAAACCTTATGGAAAATATGTTAGACGAAAATGACGCTACTAATTGAAGGTAAACATTAGGAAAATGATAACGGATTGGCAACAAATCGGAAGAAAGGCATAGGAGAGTTATTGGTAACTTTGGTCGATGCTCTATAACCGGAGAGGATTAGCTGACTCAGGCAGTTTTAGAAGTAAAAATATCACTGATATTTCAGAGCTTTACTTACATTAACCTGCAGGACTATTCAACTAAGAAAACCACATTCTTCACTGGATATGAAGTTAGGGATCAAGTCATTTATTTAAAATCTCTTAAGAACAGTTGCTTGTTAACCAGCTCCATATTATCTTACCTTAACCCCGTCAAACTCAAGTCCTTCCAGACGACTAACGGCATTTGAATATTCATCCGTAGTAGAGAAATTGGCGAAAGCTAAACGCTTTCCAGACTTCCTAAACAGATGCAAACGTGTAGCTGATGGTATGGCGTCTTTAAGCATTGTATAATTTATATGTTTAGGTAGGTTGGTGATGAGTAGAGAGAGACAATTTCGACTGCTAGCACCACAATGATCTGGAAGAACAATAAACAATTGAGTCCAAAGTGGTACAAAGTGATTCATCTCGACATGTATTTAGTTCGACAAAAATCAGGTACGATAATATCACTTTATTAGTGTTAGTCTTTCAAATTTCTCCTCTAACCTGAACTTCCAAATCTGATGTCAGGGATATAAAATCTAATTACAGATTTAACCATATGCTGCCTTTAAATAAGTTTGTTAAACTGAATCTCTTAACGTACGAGTTTTTAAAGTAAACAATAACTGACTCTCAAATAGTTTACAGGTATTTATTGTTTCAGCAATCAGTTTTTAAACATGTCACTTAAGACAATAACACTCACGAACTCAAAATTCTTCCTCAGATGTCGAACCCCATATGATTTTCCATCTAAAACTACATTTTAATACGAAATATGAAGTAGGAGTCTTCTTGAACTCTTACAAATAACGAAAACCAATAAGAAGGAATTATGAGTTCAGGGTTTTACATTATTTTTTTCACCAACCGTCAAATCTGAACTTATCGTACGAAACAGTACAGTAACTGCGAATGTATGAAATGAACAGTCAGTCAGTTAGTTACAACATAGCACTTCGTACGTGCGTACCTAGGTTCCGATTACCATACCACATTGGCACAGAGACGCAATTGTCAGTTCAAATCCCATAGTAGTAGAGACAGTAGAAGTATTCGCGTTAATGTAGAAGAATACTATTCGAAGATATCGTTCGAAAATTATAGTTCAGTGAGATAATTTTAGTACGAGAAACTTAGAGGTAATGAGGAATTCAGAAGATTAGCACTCCAGAGAATACAAAGAATGGGTGCAGCTGCGCGATCGCAAACGATTTTAAGCCATATCGTTCAAGGTCTCTAACTGTCGCTTACTATCACCACGTGGGTACCAACCAGGTAGCCGACGTCTACCAACATGACTCAGTCCACTTTTCAGTAAATTCAGGGGTGTTTCATATTTTGATCTGGCCTCCCCTAGCTTTCTTCCAACCTATTCGTACGTCGCAAAACAGCTCGACGAGGCAGTCAGTGGCTAGGCATACGCAACAAATGTCCCAAATACCCCAAATGATGGATAATCACTGCTTTATCGAATGATTCACGATCCCTACCTAGTACTCGTTTCCTAACCCAATCATTGCTTACTCCATTGTCCCAGGATATAAGAGCAATGCTTCGAAGACATCTGTAATCGAATACTTATAACATACGAATATTCTCTACTCTGACTGGCCATGTTTCGCAGCCATAGAATAGGACAGAGTGAACTGAGCAGTAGACTCGTCGTTTGGTTAGCAAACGGATATCTTGCCTACGCCTTAAGTAACGTAAGTTGGCAAAAGCCAATCGAGCCTTTTGTATCCTTGCTGAGATTTCGTCACATACCAGGTGACCAGCACTGATGTGACTCCCGAGATAAGTGAAGCGGTCAACACGCTCAACTGCTTCACTCCCTATCACTAGTTCAGGTATAACTCAAGCTATAACTCAACCAGTAGTGTTCGAGTGGAGAGCTTGTATGAGGTTAGTGTACTTCTTTGGTACACCTTGAAAAGAAAGACACTGCTACAGAACCTTATGATCGACAGATCCAAATGCCGCTTTGAGGTCGATATACATCACTATTGTGGGACGTCTGAACGTGTCTGTGTTTCAGCAGCTGACGTGGTGCGAATATGTGATCTATGTAGCCACTTCTAGGTCTAAAACTAGCCTCGTTTTCTCTAGTCTGCTTCTCAAGAGTTTTAGTTAGGAAACGGAGTATTATTGAAGCCAATATCTTAGACACTATATTAGTCAAACTGATCCCTCTGTGATCGTCACAAGAGGACTACTGTCCTTTTTCGTAGACTGGGACAATCAGTGATTGCGACCTGTCAGATGGGATTATGCCCAGTTCCCAAATTCCACCTAAAATCTCAGTCAATCTAACTGTTCAAACTAGACCACCATAATTAGAAATCTCATAAGCAAGCCTGTTAGGCTCTACTGCTCCGTCGCTTCAGATTTTCTATAGCTTTTTCAACTTCATCAAGAGTCGGATGACTTACATCCATATGCCATTTAGGTTGACTAGAGATCGTGGGCAACCGAAGTGTGGTTGGATACAAGTTGAACTGATCCCCACAGTGTTCTGTCTATCGACCCAATTTCCTGGGTCGAGAATGAATGATACGACCATACTTTTCTGAGATAGTTTCACTAACAAATGAATTCCTAGTACCAGTTTCCTTGATAAGGCGGAAAACTTGTCTAACATAACCTATCATCGCTCTTGCTTTTGCTACTCACCACTGTTCGCGATCACTGCGTAGGTCTTATCAGCCTGAGTTTAAGGTGACTTCGCTTTTCCTCATGTTCAGAGTCAGGTGGGATGAGTTTTCGAGCGTCCATCAGTTCGATGGATGCCACTGAGATCCATGGCTTCTTCCCAACATTATGGTTTACCTTACTAGCAGATATCATTGCTGTCTCCACAGTCTTTTTGATATCATTCCAACCTGCCTCAGGATGGGAATCACTTACATGGTCGCCTAACTGGATTTCTAGTTGCTCATGAAATATATCCTAAGCTTTATTATTATTAGTTAGGACCGTAAGAAGTTTCTTTGCGGTGTCTTTTCTACGTCCAGTGAGCCTCAAACAAATACTTGCTCGCACTACGGCATGATCTGAATCTAGACATGTACCCCAGAACGAGCGACAGTCCTCTATTGAACCCCTATCCGCCGATGGCTGATAGCCATGTGTTTTATTCGAGTCGGCTATGGGGGTCGCCAGGTCAAAAGATGTTTTTCCTTATGCCCGAAGTTAGTGTTTGCTAGAAATAGGCGGTTATCTGAGAATAGCTGCAGCAGACGGTCGCCATTATCTGTTCTATTAACCGCGACACTATAAGATCCACCCAGGTGTCTTTCTTTTTTACATAGTTTACCTTGTTTGAAGTCAGTGGGGGCGTAGCCAGAGACGACAAAGAGGGAACGGCGAGTTTTCCTATCTTTGTAAGTCCTCATTGTCCCGTTTAGTCGGACAGCACACAAGCGACTATGTACTAGGATCCAGTCTAGGAGAGCTAGTTCTGCCTCACGAATTAATACTATACATACACCAGCGAGGCCATGGGAAACAGCAGAAAGGCTTCCAGATATACGAGGCGTAAACGAGTTGAATCTCTATCCGAATTCTGTATAAGCGTTTCAGAGACGCAGTATACATCGACGGCATGGGATTCCAGAGTTCTAGCTAAGGAAGCCTGTCGCCCCATTTGACGCAAGGTTCAAATATTGAAAGCTCCAACAAGCAGTCTAGAACGGGATTTCAGGAGACAAAGAATAATGTTTCGTGAACTCAAATCGTTTGCATTAGCGGTACGGGGTAATAAAGGAATATGAGGAGAGTTAGTGTTGGAGATAAGAGAGGTATTGAGGGGGTGTAGGAAGGATTTGGTTTTGACCAAACTGGTCTCGTGTGCTGTTACGGGTACGAGGGTGGATGTCACTTCGTGGCTGCTCACGCCACGGAACGGTGTTTCTTGAGGAACCTGAAAAAGAAGGCAGATTAAAAATGGTCTTGGAGACCTGGGAATGTGACCGCAGCGACAACTGCTTGAGGCCGGTCACGCACAGCCTCTTTATGAGTTTCTAAAGTGTTAGCTTCTCTTTTATTAAAGGCCTTACCGCCGGAAACGGAAATCCGTTATGTAAGGCGAAGTGTGACATTTTTAGGATCGACGTTTCCTAACCTCCTGTTTCCTTGCGAAAAGGAAGCATCGCTGCAGATCCTGGTTGTCCGAGAGAAACAAACTGCTAGTGAGACAGCCCTCTACAGCCAGCAGTAACACTTCGCCCGCAGACCTTCAGTTTCTGCTTTTAGTTTCACCGTTCTCCAAACGACAATCAGAATACGATGGAGAATTTAAGCTTGGAGGACACAGCCTCATAGAAATGATCAAGTCATTTTAGTTATAAATGGATATTTTGAAGCATTTATCTCAACGCACTAAATATCCTTAAATTCATCAAATACATATCATAGTTATTCCACGTAATGCGTACCTTCACTAAGCGTAACAGAAGCAGGTTGTTCTGATGAATGATTTGTTGAATTCTTAATTTTTTTCTGCCGAGATTTCTTCGAAGATGAGCGGTTGGATTCCTTAAGCTTACTGTCTGAGTTTAAATTAGAGTCCAAAAGACTGCTTTCTTTAGATTTAGTTGTTTTCTTCACAACTGGAGTATCAATATATTCTTGCCGTTTTGATTTTTTTGAATCAACAGCTGTTTTAGTTTTACTTTTAGTAGTAGCATTCTGTCCGATAAGAAGCGTTTGTTCGAGCTTGTGGGTCTTGCTCTTTTTATTCTGCTTTACCAATTTAGAATCGATAACCGGCTTCATTCCTACAAAAAACCTTAGAGATATAACACAAAAGTAATCTTAGAAATCAGGAAGATTTAAACTTTCGATTATGAGAATAATAATATACATTGTTTGGCACTATAACGAATAAACCAATGTAATTTAAGACACATTTTGAATTTTAGAATGAAGTTTATCCATTGATATGGCTAAGCGGTAGTTTGGCATGGTAGCCTTTGTCAGTTTGTGAATGAAAAACCAAATTCAATTTCTAACCTTAACTTATGACCACCTTTTGACCCATGTAATGTGACTTTACTTACGGCTACTATGGTGTCAAAGGTTTCCCATACATTCGTCTCATTCGGAATTATACTTGTGTCAGCAAATAATAGTTTATAAGACTGAAAACCCAAATTTTAAATTACTAAAACTCAGTACTAGAAAAGTTGATAAAGTGTTACAAGAAACGCGAACTACTCAACCCAAGTAGAATATATACAGGATACGCTACGTCGGTACTTAGAAATACATCTCTTCAAAATGTGGCCTCAGTGTAGAGAACACAAGATCAGTGGTCAACAGCATATTATGACTAAGAAGAAACTACCGTTTCCATACGCTAGTTAAAACTGTTAAGTATGTAAACGTCAAATCCTAGCAGGATTAACTAATACCTATGAAACTAAGGTCGATTCAAGCTAGGGAGTGCTGGAATGTATCTGGCAATAGCAGTAGAACAAATGAATTTAGAGGGACTACCCATTATACACTGATATTGTTTTTTGCCGAAAAATTGTTGATAACATAATTAATCGCTACAACATGAATTGCGCTGATTCTTTGTCATCGTTATTCCAGCTTTGGCTTTGAAAATGCACGGAACTTTTGGGGAAATTTCAATTCTAAATAATTGACAGCAAGACTGATTGTTCATATAAATGCATAAATATATATATATATATATATATATATATATATATATATATATATATACAGCTAAACGTATACCTATATCTATGATCTTAACGCGAGCATGACAGACAATTATAAGATAGTGCACCCTATTAATCTAGCCTTTTAACCAGTCATAACAAGATATACCTTAAAAGTTACAAACAGATAAATGTGAGAAGCACGTGAACCACTCACAACGACTACCGACAGAGTCGAAATGGCGCCTGTTCAATCAATGGTTCATATGGTTGTGAACAGAACAAAAGAAGCTATTGCTTAGCACACTTCCGTATCTAGTAGTAGTGGATTGCCAATACCTGCAGATAGATATATTCAACAATTAAAAGAGAAATATCAACAAATTAAAATGAAATATCTTCCTGAGTCCATAGGAGTATGTCGTTTCTTCTTGGAGGACTGTGGATAAGTCGACTGAACCAAATTAGCGTGTGGAGAAATCTGAAATCTGTCAATTTGTAAAGCATCAGATGTATGCCTACAGTCCATCTCTGTTATGATATGCCTCTAGTTTCTGAGTATTTGATTAAGTATGCTAAATGGTGCTCAAAAACTTTAGAAAGCTTCGTCATTATAAGGTCATATCTCGGACGCCTATACTCTATCGAAAAAAGATCCAATGGCTTTAGGCTCTCTTCATATGGTGAGAATTTGATTCCTCAAAAGGACTTCATGGCTCGCCTTTCGATACATCCCAGAACAGTCATGTCCTTTTGGAGTGAGGGACCCGGTCCCGGATCCCTAGTCCGACATCCTGATTCTCTTCTGGACTCGGATTGCGTACTTTCTGAATGCTTGTAGAATACAGGTTCTACTTCATATCCAGCCTTCTTTTATTCAAATGGGGTAGGGATAATCGGATTGAGTAGCATGTCGTGTCGCCCGATCCTCGCTCTCGTATTCCGGCTAAGGCAACTCGTAATAGTTCAAGTATATCAGAATGACGTGTTTACGTTCAGGCGTAACAATTTTTTCAGCAATAAGGGCCAGTGAGTCTACATGTCGAATAAACGTGGTCCCGCTAATTTACCTACTGCAGATTGTCTATTAAAGCTGATGCATTCAGCTGTCTGACGTTCTAATTCTTGTTGTTAGCAATGTTTTTAGCTCGGTTGTGTTCAAATAATTGAGGACATCTTGGATAGTTTTAGTGTGCAATCTAAGAAGAATAGCCGTTAGTGGCTCAGTCATTCAGCCAAACTCTTTACATAGCATCCTGTGATTTTTCCTTGCAAGCTGAAATGTCAGGACGGTGCTTAAGGTTAACGGTTAATAATAAATCTTTACGAATCTTATCTGGTTCGAAGGTTTCTACGTACGCTGAGACTAGAAAATTTTTTGTTTAATCATTAGGTTTTGGTCCAGCTTCTCATACATTTGGTCGACTACTTGAAAATCCTCGCAATTTTTGGTACTCTGAAGACCCGATTTCACTTTCAGAATATCAACGGAATGTGCTGACATTACGTGTTCTGGAGAGAATCCTAGTGATTCACTACTCGATGAGCAACACGGGACTCCACATGTAATCAATCATATCTCAGTATTTGAACTTTCTTAGGATGTCCTCTCTGTTGATCAGTCCTGTAGAATCCTTTTTGAATGTTTTGTTTTTTGGAAAATCCCTCCATGTTTACATATTTTTGCTATGACATGACGGACTCTTTCTGTTGACATTTTTGGTATTTTATTTGATTCCAATTGGAGATTTTATCATTGTATATTGTTATTACTTCTATATTTTGTACTTATATTGAAGTTTTTGTGTTTGCTTCTGAACTGTACATATGTTGTTTAAATTTGATATAATATGGCTACCGCCACATTTTTGGATTGATATCGTGCAGTATAGGAGTTCACGTAGACTTCGGAACCTCGATACTCATTCAGAGTAATTTTGAATTGGAAGGCGTAAAATTTGTTAGGTATTGTTTGTATTTCCATTTATTTTCTATTAATAGACCATTTTCCCCTAGAATTATTGTGTTTTTATATTCGAAATCGGAAAGTGCGTCCGACATACGTCTATTGGAATCGAATTGAACTGCCTCGGTAGAAAGTCCAATTACAGTCTAACAAATTTTGGAAACCAGTCCATTTACTGTCTGGAATTATTCCTACGAACATTTATATTATGGAATTATCTATTACTTTTGATTAGAAGACCAATTACAGTTGGATTATTAAGAATTATAAAGAAACATTTGGAAATTTAATCGTTTATCACACTAAACTTTCTTGAAAGAAGAATTTTGGATTATTTATCGTATTTTCGTATTCGAATTGTGTCTTGGATGACGAATTTTTGATTTTGGGCATCTCCTATTGAACTTATCTGTGGAACTCCTATATTTGTATTTGTTATTTATCTTCCGTTGAACTTCACTTATAATGTCAAGTCGCAAGAAATCAAACACGAGGAGTGTGGAAGAGCTTGACGGATCCCGAAACGTTAAGCAAGTCGTTATTGAAACCTTTTTAATGGGTAACAACTCCGATAACACTGATGTTATGTCTGATACTTATTATTGTAAGTCACCTTTGGCAGGCATTAAGGAACCAGGATTAAGTGATAGTTCTAAGGTACCAGAGCCGGATGAGATGCTTAGGACACCGATAGTAGGCTTAGAACTACCTAAGGTCGAACTTTCATATTTTGATGGAAAGTCTCGCGACTATTTTAGGTTCATGCGTCAATTCGAAACGTTTATAGAACCCAGAATAAAAGATGACCAAGTTCGTTTATTGTATTTAATTCATTATTGTAAGGGAAAAGCAAAAAATGCGATTGAAGGCTGTATTATAATGGATCCACAAGCGGGATATAAGGGAGCTAAGGCCATCTTAAAACAGCTCTTTGGACAGTCGCATGTAATAGCCCGAGAAACCTTAGAGGACTTATTTAGAACTGGGAATGTAGATTTTAATGATCCTGAGGAATTGACGAATTTGGCCATTAAAATGCAGAATGCTGCTTTAACTTTAGAACAGCTAAATTGCAGAACGGAACTTAATTCCATGGTTACTTTAGAACGAATAGTCAGGCTCTTACCTCGTCGAATGCAAGCCCAGTGGGCAGAGCTAGGAATCAAGTGGGACGAAGAGGAGAGAGAGCCTAATTTTAACGAATTGACGGAATTTATTATGTCTCGTGCTAAGATAGCTAGTAGTAGGTTCGGAAGATTAGCTTATCGGGCTAAAACAGAACATAATACGGAAGCTACTAGTGGTCTGCGTGTGAGACATGAGGATTTTTCGTTTCTACCTAAAGCACGATCGGAAGATAAGAGAGTTGTCAATTATATCACGAAAGCATACGCTGATGAAGGACGAGTATGTGACCGTAACAATGTAAAACCTCTTGATGCGTGTCCTAGCAAGAAGCCGGTTGGTGTAACAGATAAGATGGCTTTTCTAAGTATGGAAAAGAAAGAAAAAGGTGAAAAGTGTAGGCATCAAGATGGATCCGAAGTGTGTGGTGATAAAAGCCTCTTAGCTGCTCGACAAGCCTGGAACGGTTATTTGGATTCGAGTAATCAGAGGTTAATGAGTTCAGTAAATATGAAGAAGGCCCAGGCAGGATTGTCTGGACGGAATAAAGCTTATTTTCTAAACCCTTCAGTTAGGGTAAATTATATAACTGGACCTAGAGTAGATTCTAGGATAAGTGATGGCGGTACTGTAAAGGCTAAGAAGCCTAGGAGATAACATGATGCTACAATTATTAAGAAGCCTAAACCTCATGCTCTTTCGGATGCTACGACTAGCCATGGAAATAGTAGCCATCAGAACCTTAGTAGTGACAGCGATAATAAGGAGATAGAAAGTGTCAGCAGTCCATTTATAATGACTAGTTTATCAACTTCATCGAATGAGCCTCCTAGTGTTTCGACGTCATCGGACCTCGTCACGAAGGTTAAGTTGATTGAAGATGTACAAGGTTGTGCAACTGTAACTGTTCATATTCCGGTTGACTGTCAGTCGAGTGATGATGAGAAGAAAGTGTTTGATGGTAACGGCCAGTCTACAGTGTTGCGTGATGACGATGCTATTGATGGGCATAT